GAGGAAGGGGAGTGGAAGCAAGAGCTCGGCCCCTTTTCAGGCTGAGGAGTTGTCGAGGTAAGAAGTGGCTGTGCTTGCTCCTTTGTCTCTCTGCTCTTCCGGCAAGCTTTCTTTGTTAGAGCACAAACAAAATATCACCACAGTGTATTCCACGAATCTTGTACAATTTCCAATGCAACCAAGTTGACAAAACTAAGCACATGGGGCTGAAGAGCTGGCTCAGCAGTTAACATCATGAACCGCTCTTGCAGAGGACACAAGTTCCCAGCACTGGGCAGCTCACAACTGCCTGTAACTCCAGTTCCATAATTTAAAATAGTAATAAAAATCAATCTTTAAAAAAAATCACAAGGGCAACTTGTTACTTTTAGATATCTTCATTGTTTCTTCATATATCAAAACAAGTTATTATTTTTAAATCACAAAAGAAAACAATTCAGGTGTAAAAGATACATATTTGACCCTCCAATAATTCCACTTCTAAATTATTTTAGAGAAGAATTTCTACATGGAAACCAGGGGATCTGTGCAAAGATTTTCATAGCCAGATTTTTTTAAAGAGTGGAACATGGGACACTACCTAAATGTTCAAAGTGAATAAATTGTTACCTAAGATCAACAAAGAGACTTTACACTCTGGTGGGGGAAAAAATCCATAAGTAAAGTACAACATAAAAAGGGCAGCCTTGGGTAGGGGAGGAGGCTCAGCAGGTAAAGGTACTTGCTGCCAAGCCTAAGGACCTGAGTTTGATCCCTGAGACTCAAACCATGGAAGAAAAGAACCAACTTCCACAAGTTGTCCTCAGGTGCCGTGGCACACATGAGTGCTCCCCCGATGTAACCTTTAAAAATTCCTGTTTTATTGTTTTTAAGAGTCACTTATTGTTATGTGTGGGGGTGTTTTGCCCATAAATGTGCCTGGTATCCATACAGGCCAGAAGAGAGCATTGTATTACCTCGAACTGGAGCTACAGACAGTTGTGAGTTGTCTGCCATATGGGTGCTGGGAGTTGAAACTGAGTCCTCTGGAAGAGCAGCTAGTGCTCTTAATCAGTGAGCCATCTCTCTAGGCCCACATTTAACAAACTTTAAAAAGAGAGATCTGCAGTTATACATCACATATAGCTAGCTGTAAAAAACAATATATTTATATACTTATATCAATGCAAAACAGTAGCCTGAATCATGTACAACAAAATACCAGTGTTTACCCTCTGGGAGTAGATTCAGATGTGGAGGACAAAGAGGAAGCATGATGGAAGTCAAATAATTTGTTAGACCATGACAGTACTATAGTATACTGTTTTGCATAAAAATATATTCATGCATCCTCTTTAAAATCACTTAAAAGTTAATAGTTCTTTAAACTATTTCAACTTTGCTTTATGCAAAAAGTATGACTTTCCCTTTTCTTCTCCATACTTTATCCCTTGTCCTCTTGGTGGACACTCTGGCTTTCTTTTTCTGTTCACTTTTGAGAGCCCTGTTATGCAGCTCAGACTGACCTAAAACACACTGTGTGGCTAGGATGGCCTCAAACTTGCAGTCTTACTGCGTCCGCTTCCTCTGGGCAACACCATACCTGGTCTTATTCTCATTTTTATCTAGCTTTATGAATAATCTCAAAGAGAAAAGCCTTATTTGCCCTTTCCCTTTATGAACCGTGCTATTAGTTCTGTAGCACTGAGCCAAAGAACTATTCATATGATAGAAGCAGAAAAAATTGACAGATGTCGCTAAATTGCCTCCATAAAAAAAAACCTGCCAATGATTCATAGGACATTATTTCTGTTAACTATCTGGTCCTTATTAGCATGGTGACAACTATGGCAGCTGCACCCAGTATTGACTTGGCCTTGAGCCCACACTGCGGCTGACTTCACTCCCTGCTCTTGGCTCATTGACTATTGGTAGAATCAGTACAGTGTGTGAGCACATTATCCAATCCATGGAGGTTCTAGGAGGGGGCTGGAGGGGCTAGTGGAAGGAAGCCAGAGCTATGGGAAACTATGAAGTTGAGACAATCCAGTCACGTGCAAAGGGATCTGCTTAATCCCCACTGATGGGTTTTTTTCTTACAGTTTTCTATGCATAGAGTCATCTATTCCTATAACATTCTTGATATTTCTTTACTCCTTCACCCCTGCCTTCTTTGGGAGGTGGAGGGGCTTTGTCTCCCTTTCTTTTTGTATTTGGCTTCCCAGAAACATCATGTTCCTACCTTCGTCTGAGTGAGAATTCTCATACTGGGATTTAATATGAGAAAGACCAGTCGCCCCAGGAAAGTCCTAACATGGAACGGAAAGGTAATATGTTCCTATTATTCTATCATTCTCATCTCCTAAGTGATTCCCAAATAACGTAGGGGTCTGGACATGATGAATCACACCTGTAATCCCAACACTTGACAGTCGTCGGAGGGAAGACAGTTGGACATAATTACGTAACAAGACCCTGAATCGAAAAGAAAAGAAAGGAGGGGAGAGAAGGGAAGAAGGAAGGGATAGAAGAGGGGGAAGGAGTAGGAACTATAGAGAGTAAGAAGAACACTACTTATTGGGTTTGCTTAGGTCAAAAGTCAATGTTTAAATGTTTTTAATTTCAAAATTTTGATATTTTTCATATCATAATCATTACTTGTGATTTTTTTTAAGTTGAAAGATTAGCACCCCTGAGCCTGCATTCCTTCACAGTAACAGTGGATGGACTTGAAACATAACGTCCCCTGGAACAGAGCACCTTCAATTCACTTACCATTATTCTACCTGGTCTCTTATTTTTTTGGTACTCATGTGGAGAATCCATGGACACTAGGAATCATGTGGTGATAGAGCTGTAGTGGAATAATAGCCCCCCAAAAGATGTTCCCTTAATTTTGAAACCCATGAATTTGTTTATGGTAAAATAAACTATGCAGGTGTGATTAAAGATCTTGTAGATAGAATAAATTATTGAGTGTAGCCAATGCAGTCACAGGATTTGTAATAGGACAAGATGAATGATCAGGCAGAAAGAAAAAAGAATCTTAACCTTAGAGGTCAGAGGTGAGGTCTGAAGATGCTCCTCTACTGGCTTTGAAGCTGGGGGCTAGCTGGAGAGTGGTGGCGCACGCCTTTAATCCCAGCACTCGGGAGGCAGAGGCAGGCGGATCTCCGTGAGTTTGAGGCCAGCCTGGTCTCCAAAGTCAGTTCCAGGACAGCCAGGGCTACACAGAGAAACCCTGTCTCGAAAAACAAAAAAACAAAAAAAGAAGAAAGGAAGAAAGGAAGGAAGGAAGGAAGGAAGGAAGGAAGGAAGAAAGAAAGAAAGAAAGAAAGAAAGAAAGAAAGAAAGAAAGAAAGAAAGAAAGAAAGAAAGAAAGAAAGAAAGAAAGAAAGAAAGAAAGAAA